CGTAAAATATTTAATTTATGCAGACGATGTCAAAAATTTTTATCAGGTAAATATCTTAAATGATTGTCTTAAATTACAAAGTAATATTAATAATTGGTGTTCAATAAATAATCTTCCATTAAATTCAAAAAAATGTAATATAGTGTCATATACCAAAAAATATTTTCCAATTCTCTATAACTACTGTTTGGATGGTGTTATATTAAATAGGCCTGATTTTGTTATAGATCTTGGGGTAAATTTCGATAGAAAACTACTTTTAATGAACATCTAAATGACGTGGTAAAAGCATCATTCAGAAATTTGGGATTTATCATTAGGCATGCAGTTGACCTCAATTTTATCGAAACCATGAATATGTTGTACAATGCGTTCGTCAAATCAAAATTAGAATATGCTTCAATAATATGGAAACCGTTTTATGATATTCACATAAGCGCTCTTGAAAACGTTCAAAGACGATATCTAAAATTCTTGACATTTAAGATAGACGGAACATATCCACCAACTGGGATAAATTACACGTTGCTTTTAAATAGATTTCAAATGCAAAGCTTAGAATGTAGACGAAAAAATCAGTCGGTAATATTCCTCTATAAACTTATTATTAACTACCAAATTGATTGTTCCGAGTTATTAGAACAACTTGTATTTAAAGTGTCAAGAATTGAATATCGGAACAACTTAATGTTTTATCTCCCGCTATCTCAGACAAATTTATTAAAAAACTCGCCATTGTATTTTATGTATGAAAACTGCAACAACCTGCAAGGTAGAATTGATTTATTTTCTTGTAAGCTTTCGCAGCTCATAGCTATAATCTATATAAAATAAAACATAAATAACCGGCATGATGGTAATAAAAAAAAACACAAATGGCCGATCCTTTTCGGTTTTCCTAATTTTTCCAGCAAAATGTTAAAATATAAGGTGAAAGAAACATTACCTGACAATTATCCCAACGTTAATACACGATAAAAAGATAATTATGGAAAACTACTCATAGTTAATTATTTGTCGGCACACACTACCACACCACGTAGTTCGATAAGCCAAAAAGGACGATTTGGGCGAAAGCAGCAGATTTTATATTTGACTAGCGTAAATGTAGAAGAAAAATGCAAGCCGTGCTTTTGCAATTCAGACTCAATTAAATTTTGGTCATTTACGAGGGGTTATGGAAAAGTTGTTGTTAAAAATAAATTTGAAATTAATTTGCCACCTAACAGTAACAGTAACTTTCGAATGGCATTCAAAAGTTATAAACAGTTTATTTGTTTAAACGGCTGTAAAAAGTGTTAAATTATGAAAAAAAGTTTCAAACAGAAGTACGCTTGTGGTTTTTTTTTCGAAAAATCAATAATATTAATAATAATAATAATAATAACAATAAAATAATTGAAATTATAATAATAACAATCAAACAAAATTTTTATTCTTAATAAATAGGTACAAAACGTTGAAAATCAAGAATATCAAGAATACCAAGAAGCATGTCTTTCGTACAAACATTTTGTTGTCGTCAGTCAATTGTTGATGTCGTCTTCATATTTTATTGGGTGTAAGCGAGAGGACGGTTGTTACTCAATGAATGGAAGATGTGTGTTTTTGCTAAGCGAGCTTGGAATGCCATTATTGTCTTATGCACATGCCTGGCCTGGGAATACTGTGTTTAAACTGAGCCATGTATATTATAAAATTTAAACAACTCCCAGAATATGTCAGCAGCCCCCCGGATTCAGATAGAACACATGACAAGTTCCTATACATTTTTACGACCCCCCCCCTTTTCGGAGATATGGTCCTATAATGGACACCCCTGAAAATATTCAATATTCAAAGTTCTTGCTATAATTTAAGAATTTTTAAGTACGATGGAGATGGAGACTGGAGAAGTCTCCGTAAAACGTTAATATTTTTATAACCTGTATGATAAAGACACAACAATAATATTTTTGGATAGCTTAAAACATTTGATCAATGTCGATAAAATGACTTGCTTTTGTTTAAAGTGGTATTTTGGTTGTTACTGATAAAAATCTTTTTTGTTGCATGATTTTTTGACTTCAAAAAATTGTTTCTTTAAAATATATATTTTGAGAGAACTAGCCTTTGCAATCCATTTAGCATGATGAATAGCACCAGGTATTCCGATAAAAACTCTTAGAAGAGTACGTACTAAAAAATAAACAAAGTTGAATAAATTATTTATAATAAACGGATAAATTCTTTTAAAATCTGGTTCGGAGGGCCAATATGTTTATGTTGATTAATCACTTTCTGTGAGATAAATAAAAGTGGACTATATAATTAAAAAAAACTGGTTTTATTAAATAGAAAAAACAATTATTCTGTCTACGCGACAGAAGGATGCTTTTAACAATAGCTTTTTACAAAACTTTTAATATTAAGCAACTTTACTCTATGAAAGTCTGGAAGCAACAACTTTTTTTAAAAAAGGACCAAACTTGCCTCATCGATACATATTTTGTCCTTTTGATAAGTTCGGCGTAACTCGCGCGTATGAAGCACAAAGGCGTACACTTATTATTAATTTGGGTCCTTAAAACTCTTGGCTGTTTAATTTTTGTTTGTTCAATTTGTTCTAATATTTTAATCATCAATAGTCATTGGTTAAAAAATTTAAATATGACTCAGCATTTAAATTGGGAGGTAATTCAAATGGACCCAGCAATGTATCTCCTATTAAACCGCACCAGACATTTATTTTAAATTCGTACTGGAAATGTCTTTCTTTCTTTATTTACATGAGGGTTTTCAGTTTCCCAGGTATGACTATTTCGCCAATTAAAAACTCCGCGTCTGGTGAATGTTGCTTCATCAGTAAAAATAATTTTATTCAGAAATGTTCTGTTTCCTCCTTAGCCACTGACAAAACTCAACTTTTGCAGGATAATCTCTTTGAAGCAAATTTTGCACAAGTGTAAAATGATATGGGTACAAATTGTCCTTGTGCAAAATTCTAATCACAGATGATTGGCTTATTCCGATAGTTGCAGATAATCGACGAGTGCTGACTTCACGATTTTCTCCTGCTCTTACCAAAATTTCATCTTCCTGCTGTGGATTAATAAGTTTGGGAAGCCCTGTATGGTATGTTTGGCGAACCGAGTCTGTTTCACCCAGTCGGTTATAAATATTTTGAAATATATTGTGGTTTGTTTGCCTTTGGTTTGGGTATAATTCGCGATATTTTCTAGACGCTGAATGTCCAGAAAAATGTTCTCTTGCGTAACAGCACATCATATCTCTTTTCTTTTGACTAGAGATTATGTCTCGGCATTTTCACTAATGTATCAAATTAACTCGAACCATTCGATAACAAAAACAAGAAACAAATTGTTACAGAAACATCAGATTTTTACTCAACATTGAGCTGCTGTCAAAATTCCATGGCAAACTTGTGCTTTAATGCTATAATAATCGCAATCTTCCTTTTTACTTTCCTATCTGTATACAGATATAAGGAAAGTATAGGAATCATGATTTTTTTCGACCTCGAGTTTTCGACGGATTTTTACGTTTTGAGGTCCCCTGAATCCGTTTTGACTATTTTCGCGATGATGTCTGTGTGTGTGTGTGTGTGTCTGTGTGTGTGTGTGTGTGTCTGTGTGTGTGTGTGTGTGTGTGTGTGTGTGTGTGTCTGTATAACGCATAACTCATGAACCGATACACGGAAAAACACCAAATTTCAAACTTAAGCTTTGTTCCAGTGTCTAATGAGCTGATTAGATTTTGGGCAGAGTCGGAACATCTGGGGGGGTACTTTATAGGTGGTCATTTTTATATTTTATGGAATATATCTGTTATTTACGTTTGGGGAAGAAAATTCTTTAAATGAAAGTTACTTCTTATTTTATTATCTATAATTTTTGTTATATACAAAATTTTCCTAAAATGGTCCGTATTCGCGAAATTTGACAAAATGTAAAAAAATATTTTTTTTATAAAAATTGTTCAAACAAAAGTTATTTGTAATATAATTCTCTATAATTTTTATTCTATAGATAATTTCTCTAAAATGGACCGTATTCGAGATATTTGAGAAAATGTGTAAATTTCGAAATTTGAAGAAAACTCAAAAACGGATAAAGAAAAAAACATTAAATTTTAAACTTAAGTTTTATTTCGGCCTGACGTGAAATGATTAGATTTTGGACAAAGTCGGAACATCTGGGGGGGTACTTTATGGGAGGCCGTTTTTATATTTTATGGAATATATCTGTTATTTATGTTTGGAGAAAAAAATTGTTCATATAAAAGTTACTTCTAATATTATTATCTATAATTTTTGCTTTATGTAAAAATTTCCTGAAATGGTCCGTATTCGAAAAATTTGACAAAATGTGCAAAATTCTGATTTTTATGAAAATTGTTGAAATAAAAGTTGTTTGCGATATCGATCTCTATAATATTTGTTCATACATGATTTTTTTAAAATGGACCGTAATGGAAAAATTGTAGGAAAAGTGCTAAATTTAAATTTTTCAGTATTTTCATTTTCAATGAATATCTATAGAAAAACGTTTCGCGGTAGATGTATGTGGACAATGTATATATTTAGTTTATCCTCTAAACATTTATAGAGATGCTGCAATAGGTTGTACAAAATAACCGGAAACAGCCTGTAATAACTAGATAGGAAAGTCATGTGTTGGACACATCAGATTTTTGGATTTAAATATCAGATTTGTTACAGTTATTATTAATATGTTAAGCAGCATACGTTTCGTTAAAATAAACAAATAATTTTGTATTATTGTTTCCTAATTTTTGTTTCATTACAATCTAATATTTTCATAAAATAAATACCACAACTGCTTTTCTTTTCTGTAACTACAATTGTCGGAACTTTCAATTAATTTCAAAATTTAGCAACGGTGTGGAGCTGTGACGGTCTAAAATTTATTACGTCATCGATGACGTGCATTGGTTTTTATATTGTATGAAGTATATATTAAAATTTCTCGACTATTTTTCAGCCTCGCAGAGTCCGCTTCACTCTCCCGACCACAGATGGCGTATCGCGCACGATTTCTACCACCTGCACGGTTCCTCCGCCAATATTCTCATCCACCACTACCACCAGCAGCAGCAGCATCAGCCACAGCGACAAATACACGACGCTACCGCGCCGCCAAAACAACAGCAACAGCGTCGTCGTACTCGACAAAAAACCTCGTGACGGTTTCAGTCGCTTCAGTAGACGATCCGAAAGCTGCGATAAGCGTCGCGACGGCTCGTGTAGCGAGAAACAGCGTCGGGACGTCGGTGTACACGATGATTACGCGTCGTTTTTGAACGGGAGTACTGCGAGTGTCCTAGTTACCGCTTCTCCTGGTGTTAGAAATCGAGTTCATCCGACTGGAAGGTAACAAATCATTATTATTTATTTACATGAGAAAGAAAATGGAAAATCCGTACTGTAGAATAGTATTTTATTGAAAAAATGTAGTAACCTGTTTCGGCACATGAATCATCATCAGACAATTACAAAAGTAAGGTCCGGAAGATCCAGACCATCAATTAAATGGTAATTAACAAATTAGATGAAAATGTGTGGTATTAGGTCAAATTAAGTTAAGTTAAAAAATTAAATACGAGTATAAAAATAACTGGATGCTATGGTTTATAATTATGATATAAACATAAACATACATGAAAAATTTATAATTAAATACTTTATTGGTACATTAAAAATAATTCATAGCATTATCAATCAAGAACTTTCATGCTACTATAAAATGTATGAGGATTAAAAAATAGAATATGACTGACTTAGTAGCGTTAAGTGAAACATGGTTTATTAGTGATGTTTTAAATGCAAAACTTTTTCTGGACTCTTTATACATAGAAAAGATCACGAGTTTAAACGAGTTGGTAAGGATCGCGGAGGTGTTGTGTTATTAGTATTAAAAGAGTTTCTAAAAAAAAGCAGAAGTCATAGACACACCGGCATTTGAAGTACGCTTTCCATTAATAGACTTTTGTAAATGTCGAGTATGTAACAAAAAGGTTGTGTTAGTCATTTATATGATTATCTGATAGTAGAGATGAATTTAAATCATTTGAATGCTTAAAAAAATAAAGATTGTATTTTATTGGAAGATTTAAATGCACCAAAAAGTTTAAAATTGATTATTTAGAGTTTTAAATATTTTTGTTTTGGTAAGGAATGTCCAAAAATTATACTAGGTTGTTGACTAGAGCCGCAGCGTTTCTCAACCTTTTTTGGCCCGCGGACCAGTAGATTTGTTAAAAAAAAATTGCGTACAGTAAATTGCGTGACAGTAAAATTTCTCCGCGGACCACTAATGGTTCACCGGACCAGCGGTTGAGAATAGCTGGACTAGAGATTTAAAAACTCTATAGAATGTGGTGTCACATGCCTCTTCTTATTTAAAAATTTAAGGAGAGGTGGTTACCCCTCTGTAGGGGATGACCTAGGGGCACAGTTGCTACGTCAAAAATTTTATATTTTAAATTAAAAACGACGTGTTTTAGGATTTTATCTTCAAATCCATTTAATAAATAGTAATTTATCCTTATTTCTCACTCGTTGAAGTTTTTATTTGAAATTTCGAATGTTTTAAATTAAAAGATTTCTTTTTTTTTTAATTGAAAGACCAGGTCGTTTTTTTTATTAATTTTGGGTTTCATTTATTAAATAACTTTGCTTATTAATATTAAGTTAACCAATTTTTTTCTAAATATTTTTTTGCGCTGAATAATTTATATTCTATAGCACATTTTTACATAAAATAATTGCATTTTAACCATGATCATAAATTAAGTGTTTATGATATTTACGACGCATTCAATTATTATTAAATAACAATAAAAATAAATAATAACAAAAATTATAAACTAAACTATTACATAGATTTCAATAATTTAGAAACGGTAAAAAATCTGCAGTCTGCTTGATTAGAAAAACAAAAAAGGTAACCTAAGTATTTATAAGTATTTATAAGTATTTATAAGTATTTATAAGTATTTATAAGTATTTATAAGTATTTATAAGTATTTATAAGTATTTATAAGTATTTATAAGTATTTATAAGTATTTATAAGTATTTATAAGTATTTATAAGTATTTATAAGTATTTATAAGTATTTATAAGTATTTATAAGTATTTATAAGTATTTATAAGTATTTATAAGTATTTATAAGTATTTATAAGTATTTATAAGTATTTATAAGTATTTATAAGTATTTATAAGTATTTATAAGTATTTATAAGTATTTATAAGTATTTATAAGTATTTATAAGTATTTATAAGTATTTATAAGTATTTATAAGTATTTATAAGTATTTATAAGTATTTATAAGTATTTATAAGTATTTATAAGTATTTATAAGTATTTATAAGTATTTATAAGTATTTATAAGTATTTATAAGTATTTATAAGTATTTATAAGTACATTTCTAAACAAGTAACATTTATTTTTTCAAAATTTACAATGAGATTTAATCAACCAATAACACAACCAAGTTAATTTATTTTTCAAAAATTCAAAATGTACTTCCTGATGAAGTAAATAAATAATTATAACTATTAAACAGGTACTTCAAGAACGCCAAATAGACGAGAGGGTTTTTGCATGTATCATAAGCCCCACGACGAGACTTTGGGGGCTGATAGACAACGTTATTCCCCACTTTGAATTCCCAGTATGGCACCCCCACATGGGCCCCACGCTGTTGTTTCGTGATCTTGGTTAACAATGAGCTGTAGAACAAAGATTTCAAAACGCCACGGGGCGTCGCTAAGTGGCCGCCATATTGGGGCAAACATGTCATTTTTAGAAATGAACATGTATCATAGGCCCCACCATGGAAATGTGTCTCCTTTGTTAATTTTGATATCCTATACAAAGTTCTAATAGCACCATACAGATGCGATGTCGCCAACGTCAGATATAGGCTTCCAAAGTTGTCACATTTTTATAGGTTAAGTGAACTAAAGGACCCATTGCCATACTGGCATTTTTATGTATATGTATGTATAAAGCACGAATATATCACTGCCATACCCATGGCAGGTCGTTAACGTGCACAATTAGTCGTATACATAATTATTTTTTAAAAAATTATTTGTATATGTAGTTAGTTTTAAAATAAAAATCATTCTTTTTTAATAAGTTATTTGTCACGTTTATTTTTTTTTTAACCTGAATATAATATTCTTATGTTTAAATTATTTTGTAATAATATATATGTAATAAAATACGTTAATAATATTTACGTGCGGTTATAATCATTTCTGACTATAACATACGATTTGGTAATAATATTAATTATAAACTCAATTTTCTTAGCAAGATTTGAATTTTGCGTCTATATCACTAGTCAATGTCGAGAGCTATGTCACTTGTTAAGTCAGTTGTCAATTGTCGGAAGTGACTTATGATTTACGGTTGGCAAAAAAGGTTGTAGAAAATTAGAAATAAGTGTTACTAATTATTCTAATTTTAGTTTACGATAAATCGTCCATCACCGGTAATAAACTTATTACAAACGAAATAAAATTGTAGGTTTTTTCCACTTTTATTATGTTCATGATCTCTTTTTGTATGAAAATAACACCCTAAAAATACCACCCTTAAAATATCACTCTGATAATAAAACCCTGCAACTACCTTCCTAAAAAACCGTCCTAAAAATAGCAGATTAAAAATAGCAGTTTGAAACTGTCATCCTGAAAAAACAAGAGTGAAAATGACACCCTGAAAATAAAACCTTAAAATAACAACCTGAAAATATCATTTTAAAAATACCATCCTAAATACACTATCATGAAAAGAATAACCAATAAATGACAATGTATTAGAATGTACCAATCTATAAAAAGAAAGAAAAAACAAAATTAAAAGTTTTACTTTATCCACTTTTACTTTATTAATGATACCTTTTTGTATTTGTACTTTCGATGGTTCTTCTGACTGAATGACATGACCTACAGAAAAGCTACAGTTTGTTAGAACAGTGCGCGATGCAAAACTCACAGTTTGCTGAGCGCCGCACACATCCGTTGTAATCTAAAGGTGTGTATAAATATAGCGCGCCAGGCCTGCACCGTACCTGGGCCAAGTTCGTAAGATTTGTACGGTGCTGTGGGTCTAGCGCGCGATGGAAAGCAAGGGATCTACTTCAATGCGCTAGTTCAGTGAGATGTCATTTTGGTTCCACTGACACTTAATTCTAACCAAACTTTTAACAAAAACATCAATAAATTTGACATATACGTTTTCACTGTTTTTATTTTATTTCAAAATATTGTTTACAGGTCATAAAAATAGTTTAAAGGTATGTAATTGGTAACTATACGATTGTATATTTGATACATGCTATCTACTTACTTTAGGAATATATAAAAGTGAAAAAAACGATATAATTTAGGTAAACAAAACGAACAAAACGCACTCAAAAAAATCTACTGTCACTTTAATTGTCAGTGGAACCATAATGTCATCATCACTTAACTAGCGCATTGGATGAACTTGGCTCGTTGTTTGGACGACGCAGGCACGGCCCGGACCCTAAGCCCCATATTTATACGCACCTTTACAATGTTAATACCTTGGGAATAGTTTACTATAGTCGGCACAGTAAAGATGCGTATAAATAAAATGCGCCTTGCTTGGGCCAACAAATGGCCAAGGTTTGTCAGATTTCTACGGTGTTATTAATATACCACGCGATGGAAAGAAACGGACCTACTTTGATCCTATTTGGCGCGGTCTGTGGTAGACACACAGCACCGTACAAATCTGACGAACTTGGCCCGTTGTTGTTATATTCTAACAAACTACTTAAGAAAGTTATGGGAGTCAGTTACGGGTTTGTTAGGGTTCTTAAAACCGGTTGTTGATAATTTGTTGTAGACTCCGAACACTACTTTTATTTCTGTATATAACGTCATTAATTGGAAAATAACACAATTTAATTTACCTGTTACGTCGAGCGTTGTACATATAAGAAGGATGAAACAGTAAGATTGACATCAGACAGTTAAGTTCTATGGGTTCAGTTCGTTTCGATATTAAAACTATTAATGCAACAACCCATTTTACTTATTCCTTAATACACTATAAAAACATTACTGTCACTATCACAAGATCAATTTACCTTCCTTCATTTAACTCCCAATTTCAAATTCTTCGTACACACGGCGATTAGCGATTACTTTCTCCAAAATTCAGAATCCCAAGTCTCTTCCGATTAAAATCAAGTAAATTCAAATAAACTATCAAATTATACGGTGACGACGCCAATCCGGTGAATAATTAGACCTAAAGTTACGATCCCGATGCGGGAATTCGATTGGTTCAAATCGTCGAGTAGTTCAGATGTCCCAAGGGAGTGTGCAGGAGACGCGCGTTCAGCGACATACAAATAGGCCGAGCTTTCGATTTTTTAGGTATTGAACCTGAGAATCTGGAAATCAAACTCATCATAAATAAACCAAAAATCGTTTTTGAAAATTAGTATATATCGTGCAACCACTAGTAGATACCTAGTAGTCGTTTCGTTAACCACTAAATATAAGTTTGCTTTTGTGAACTTGTTTCTACTTTACAAAATAGATCACTAGAATTGATAAAAAGCTTAGTAGAAGAATCTCTTGGAATTAAGACAGGCTAAGATACTTCTGGGTGAATATAACCAGAAAAGATCGGAAGCCTGTATCAGCCTGAGTAAGAACAGGCTACGCTTTGTAACAGGGATCCTTAGGAGCATAACAAATAGAAGAGGTTGATCTACCTAACTTGAAGTCACTCCAAATCCTTTTAGAGCATATAAACAATATTAATTTAAATTTGGCAGATGGCAAATGAATTCAAAATTTAAGAAAATTTTAGGTATATAGAATTTTATATTCAGTGATCGAGGGAGCGCCTAGCACACGAGCCATTTTGATGAAGTTCTGATGTCGCGACAGAATTGTCTCCAATAAAACGTCCATAAGGTTGATCTACTAGGATCTACTAGGATATCTAAATACCCTATGTTGTCCATCTGTTAAGTAAAACTAAACTCTCTTCAGTACGTTATCTCTTATGCCATATCTTTCTAGTTTAGTCTACAGTCTGTTACGATCAAGACAGTCATCGGCCCTTTGTACAAGACAAGAAACATTCCTAGCAGGCGCAGCTTGTGGCCTAGTCTACTAGTCTAAGTATAATATATTTCCATTTACTTTTTTTAGTTTTACACCCTTGGGACCTCCCGTGCTACACCCTAATCCGTCTATAGCTTCGCGACAGTGCAGCCTGTGGCTTATTGTACCACCATTTGAAAGTCCTACTACTTTTCCCATTCAGCAATTGACTCCCTCATTCATCGTCATTGATTCCACATCGTCGATGGTTAACCGATAGTCGAATGAGTCCAATGGTGACACGATCCATAGTGGAACCTCCCAGTGGTCACCCATCTACGGCGTGACCGGAAAGATAACTCCTTAACTGTTGCAAGTTGTGGATGCGCACTCTCCGGCTAATATTTCTATTAGAATACAATGTAATATTTATGTTTTTTGTATTCCAACAGAATTATATATTTGTATTAAGTAAATATTAAGCCCACTCGTAGTCTATGCCACGAGCCCCGCCTGATTCCAAGGGCATGCAATTTCACTGGTTAACAGTTCATGATGGCCACTGTCGAATGGTGTAACCACATTCCGGTGTTACCCACTTTAAGACAAGTTACGCCCTTTACCTCTTTGACTTTAAACAATCTTATGAACAGAGCGAGATAGAAAATTTCATTTCTTCTTACACTTTTTACATTTAAAATTAAATCACGAAACTATCGTTTATTTATTAGTTTAAATAAAAATTTGTTTGTTCCGGCCTAATCACGGTTTTCCACTTCAATTCAGAGAGTCAAACCACTGCTGTCCCAGTTATATCAAACACGATTAACGAGTGCAGGTGTAATTTGGGTCATTGGGGGTTCTCCAACTTACAAAGAAACTTTTAACTTTCAACTTTCGTGATGTGCATGCGAGGCTCGATAAAAAATGAAGCATTGTATACAACTAGTAATTTAAACGCTTTAAAAAAATGCCAACGCAAATTGCGTCTCGCTTTGTACTTAATCCATTATTAATATGTACGTGAATATTTTATAAATAGATCGATTGCCTATAAACAAAACGTAAAGATTAACATTTAACTGTAATTTAAGTTTGTAGAATTAAACAAGGCATTCGGCAGACTAAAAAGAAAAGACAGCTAACTTTTTTATGAAAAAGTTCAAAAAACTGATAAAATATACCTAGATTACAATTTGAAGTACGAATAAAGTAATAACCATAAAGATATAACATGGTAGGGCATGAAACAAAAATGTAATCTAAGCTCTATAGGCAAGGTTAGGTTAGATTTATAGAAACACGTTTGTTAAAATTGGAAGGGAGTCTCTCCTCTCCCATGAACGTGAGCCAGGCAATGAACTTTGACGGGAAATTAACTTTGTCAGGCAATGAACTTTCTCAGGTAATAAACTTTGTCGAAAAATAAACTTTGCCAGGCAATGAACTCTGCCAGGCAATGAACTTTGTCAGGAAATAAACTTTGTCAGGAAATAAAATTTGTCAGGAAATAAACTTTGTCAGGCAATGAACTTTTTCAAGCAATTAACTTTTTCCGGTAATGAACTTTGTCAAGAAATAAACTTTGTCAGGCAATAAACTTTGTAAGGCTAAAAAATTTGTCAGACAATGAACTTCTTCAGGCAATGAGTTCGGTCAGGAAATACACTTTGTCAGTCGATGAACTTTGTCAGGCAATGATCTTTTTAGGCAATCATCTTTTATAGGCAATGAACTTTGTTAGGAACTAAACTATGCCATGCAATAAACTTTTTCAGACAATGAACTTTTTCTGGCAATGAACTTTGTCAAGAAATAAACTTTATCAGGCAATAAACTTTATCAGGAAATAAACTTTGTCAGGCAATGAACTTTTTCAAGCAATTAACTTTTTCAGGTAATGAACTTTGTCAAGAAATAAACTTTGTCAGGCAATAAACTTTGTAAGGCTAAAAAATTTGTCAGACAATGAACTTCTTCAGGCAATGAGTTCGGTCAGGAAATACACTTTGTCAGACGATGAACTTTGTCCGTCGATAAACTTTGTCAGGCAATGATCTTTTTAGGCAATAATCTTTTATATGCAATGAACTTTGTTAGGAACTAAACTTTGTCATGCAATAAACTTTTTCAGGCAATGAACTTTTTCTGGCAATGAACTCTGTCAGAAAATAAACTTTGTCAGGCAATAAATTTTGTCAGGCAATGAACTTTGCCAGGAAATACACTTTATCAGGCTAATAAATTTGTCAGGCAATGCATTTGGTCAGGAATTAAACTTTGTCAGGCAATTAACTTTTTCAAGCAATTAACTTTTTCAGGTAATGAACTTTGTCAAGAAATAAACTTTGTCAGGCAATGAACTTTGTCAGGAACTATACTTTGTCAGGCAATAAACTTTGTAAGGCTAAAAAATTTGTTAGATAATAAACTTCTTCAGGCAATGAGTTCGGTCAGGAAATACACTTTGTCAGACGATGAACTTTGTCAGTCGATGAACTTTGTCAGGCAATAATCTTTTTAGGCATTACTATTTTTTAGGCAATGAACTTTGTTAGGAACTAAACTTTGTCATGCAATAAACTTTTTCAGGCAATGAACTTTTTCTGGCAATGAACTCTGTCAGGAAATAAACTTTGCCAGGCAATAAATTTTGTCAGGCAATGAACTTTGCCAGGAAATTCACTTTACCAGGCTAAGAAATTTGTCAGGAATTTAAATTTGTCAAGAAATAAACTTTGTCAGGAACTATACTTTGTCAGGCAATAAATTTTGTAAGGCTAAAAACTAAGTCAGACAATGAACTTCTTCAGGCCATGAATTGTTTCAAGCAATGAGTTTGGTCAGGAAATACACTTTGTCAGATTATGAACTTTGTCAGTCGATGAACTTTTTTACGCAATAAACTTTTTTAGGCAATGAATTTTGTTGGAAACTAAACTTTGTCAGGCAATAAACTTTTTCAGGCAATTAACTTTTTCTGGCAATGAACTCTGTCAGGAAATAAACTTTGTCCGCCAATAAATTTTGTCAGGCAATGAACTTTCCCAGGAAATACACTTTGTCAGGCTAAGAAATTTGTCAGGCAATGCATTTGGTCAGGCAATGAACTTTGTCAGATTTGTTGAGGTTCAAATAATGAAATTTGTCAGTTAATTATAAAATGAAAAAATTTTAAATATGTATTTATACTGTTGTTGGAAAAATTGGAACGAATCGGTGTGAGAGGTACTTCTAATGATTGTTAACAAGTAGTGACTGGTGTACTGTAGGATTCCATATTAAGGCCAGCACTTTTCATTAGGTTTATGAATGATTCATGTAATACATGTGCATCTAATAACAGTATCCTAAAAATGCTTTGCAAAGTATCAAATATCTGATAAAACTAAATAAATCTATTAAACAGGTTTATCATGTTTTAGAAGTAATATTTTATATTCAGGATGGCATTCTCAGTGTTGTCCATTCTAGATGGTATTTTCAGGGTGGTATTATCAGGATGGTATTTTCAGGTTGGTATTTTCAGCGTGGCATGCTTAAGGTAATAGTTTCGGGCATATCATTTTCCTAATCCTTTTCAGTAGTACGTTCAGGCTGGTATTTTTAGATTGTTATTTTCAGGTAGATATTTTCAAGATGGTATTTTCTGGTTGGTGTTTTCTGACGGACTTTTCAATGCATTATTTTCGGGATCGTATTTTCAGTGTGGTATTTTTAAATGGTATTTTCAGAAATTTCATTTTCCTAATATCCTCCTTTTTAGAGGTATATTCAGAGTGGAATATTTAGGATGGTGTTTTCAGGATGGTATTTTAATGGTGCTATTCTCAAGGCGTTATTTTAATGATGTCATTTTCAGAGTCAAATTTTCAATGTGAAATTGTCAGGGTGTTATTTTCAGGGCGGTACTTTCTTTATGCTATTTTCAGGTTTTATTTTCAGTGTCAAATTTTCAAGGTAAAATTTTCAGCGTGGCATTTTCAGGATTTTTTTTATCTTTTGCATCTAAGCACATACAAAAGTAACGATTTTATGAATATTAATAATTAGTATTTTTCACTAAACGTTTGTTCTGTTGAATTTCCAGATACCTAAGAGGCACGCTGTCACCAACGGCCAACGCTCTGCCCCACGCGGCTGCCTCCCCGGAGTGTCAGGCCCTTCTGAGGGCGGCCCGCGATGGGGACGACCACCTGTTAAGGGATCTTTTGCGAACTGCTTTGGACGACGGTATAGCCGAGGCCGATTTGAACGCCGTCGATTCCAGCGGAAGGGTAAGTCAAATAGTTAACTTTTTCTACTGCACTACTAAAAGTAATGAAAATATTATTTTCTACTATCGATGCTTTAGATTTAGGCGCCGAAAAAAATAAGATATTGTGCTTAAATTCGTAAACGGAAGATAAAATAACTATGTATTTTTCAAATAGTATATAGTAAACTATTTTGGGAATATACGTGGGACAAATAATTACAATTCCCAAAGGAAGCTGAGAATGTATGGTTTGTTTAAAGTGATATACAAAAACATGTCGGTTACTATGTAAAAATAAATGGTTCAGTGAACAATAATAATTATTTTTGGATTCCTCTGGATTTTATTTTATATAATAGAGTTTAAAAATAATAATTCCTACAAAATTTATGAAATTTTAGAGCAAATTTTTTAATCTTACTATTTCTGCAATATTTATTTTTAATTTAGATTGTAATAATTTTGTAGGTCCAAAAAGTTTTCAGAATAAGGATTTTTATTAACAGTCCAATGCAACATATTTTATAATTCATTTAAGTTTTTTTTTTTTAAATAAAATATAAAGTAAAAACAAAATGTAGTTTTAACTCTATAAAATTGACGCTCCACACGTTGGTCTATGTAGTTTTGTTTTCAAGCAAAGTTGGATTTTATTATTACAGGAATTTTGTATAAAATGTCTCTTAACGCTAAAATCCTCGTATACCCGCTTCTAGTGATTTAAAATGAGAAATATTCGGTCTTTTATCACAGACATCCATTAGATTGAAGCTTCGTACCCGATATAGTTGGCCTGTTAATCAAAATTAAATTCCTCGATGCATAGTCACTGTGAACTCTGCCCTTTTGTGAAGGGTGTACATGCATATGCATTCCAGGTATCGTTTCATATACGAAAATTACCATTAATTGCATTAATTTAGGCTTTCTGATCGATGATAATGGTTTCTATCAGTAATCAGTCGCACGTATAAAATTTGTAAACAGAAGAAATAAATCCTATACTGATATCAGTTCGTTAACCCCTAACGTTGACGAGCTGAGAAGTTGACTGTTTCTAGACACCTCTCAGCGGAAACCAGCAGGTTTTAACAAGTTGAGAGGCATGTTCCATATGCCCCTAGACCTAGAGGATGCACAATGAGCCTTATGAGGCCTAAGTACTGTGGAGCAACCCACCCTTTCCACCGTCAGATACAGGAGAGATAAAGTTAAAATTAAAAAAAAAACTATTCAAATACGACAAGAACATTGTATAATATTTCTTTTAATTAAAATCGTTAAACTACAAATTACGGCACTATAATAAAATTAATTCGATAGTGAGGTGAACGTTCTCCTAACTACACAAATATCTTGGCACCGTTAAAATTCCGTATTACATAAATAATAACACCGCTAATACATTATACCTACACGTCAAATTACTAAAAATAACGCAATTTAAGCTTCAAATAATATTATTTCGCAACTAGATAAATAAATAATAGAAAAGTATGTAATCGATTATTGCACACCCTACAAATTCTAAATTCTTATTATTATTGGACGGCTTTTTAGGTTCACAATGATATTCTGAAACTGAATCAGCACCGTGTGCCGCTTGACGATAGCATTTTCACACAAGGAAAACTAGTCCGCTATCCCTGCTGCCTGCTACCTTCGCTTTTCGCAGGAACTTTCAAAAACAATAAATTTATCTATCTGGACGTAAATGTCGTTTCATTCTGGTGTCTAAACAATGCAGGCAGGTTCGGCTTTAGGACGAAAACTATTTTTAGTATTACACATAATAATTACGGCGAACAGCTCTAGTAAAATTCTAAATTTAGAGAACACTTACGAAATAGTTATAAGAGACAATAATTCCTAATAGTTACTGTTTGATAAAGTCAAATTATTTACCAGAGATGTTCCAATGCCATCTTTAAAAATTCACTAGTTTAAAAGTTGTAGAACCCTTTTTTATAACATTACTGGTTTTAAAATAACTGGCTCATAAAGTCAAATTAGGTTACCAGAGATGTTCTACTATCACCTTTAAAAAATCATTAGTATAAAATAGCAATTCCATAACATTACTGGTGTTAAAAATATCTGGCTTATAAAGTAAAATTATGTTACCAGAGATGTCCCACTGTTTTTTTTTTAAATGCACTAGTTTAAAAGTTGTAGAAACCTTTTTTTAAAGACTGCAATTCCATAACATTACTGGTTATAAAAATATCTGTCCAATAAAGTCAAATTGTTATGTTATCATTGATGTTTCAATGTCGTCTTTAAAAATTTACTCGTTTAAAAGTTGTAGAAAACTTTTTTTGAAGACAACAATTCCATAACATTACTGATTTTAAAATAACTGGCTGATTATGTTACCAAAAATGTTCTAATATCATCTGTAAAAATTCACTAGTTTAAAAGTATAGACACCTTTTTTTGAAGACAGCAATTCCATAACATTACTGGTTTTAAAAATATCTGGCAGATAAAGTCAAAATATTATGTCACCAGAGATGTTCCAATGTCGTCTTTAAAATTTACTCGCTTAAAAGTTGTTAATACCTTTTTTTAGGACAGCAATTCCATAACATTACTGGTATTAAAACAACTGTCTGATAAAGTCAAATTTTGTTACCAAAGATGTTCTAATATCATCTTTAAAAATTCACTAGTTTAAAAGTTGTAGAAACATGTTTTTAAAGACAGCAATTCCATAACATTGCTAGTGTTAAAAATATCTAGCTTATAAGGTAAAATTATGTTACCAGAGATGTTGCGCTGTCATCTTTAAAAATTTGCTAGTTTAAAAATTGTAAAAATCTTTGTTTTTTGAAGACAGTAATTCAATAACATTGATAACATTAACATTTAAAATAACTGGCTCATGAAGTCAAATAATGTTACTAAAGATGTTCCACTGTCATATTTAAAATTTCACTAGTTTGAAAGTTGTAGAAACCTTTTTTTAAAGATTACAATTCCATAACATTACTGGTTTTAAAAATATCTGGCTGATAAAGTCAAATTATGTTACCAAAGATGTTCTAATATCATCTTTAAAAATTCACTAGTTTAAAAGTTGTAGAAACCTATTTTTAAAGACAGCAATTCCATAACATTACTGGTGTTAAAAATATCTGGCTTATAAGGTAAAATTATGTTATCAGAGATGTTCCGCTGTCATCTTTAAAAATTTACTAGTTTAAAAATTGTAAAAACTTTTTTTTAAGACAGCAGTTCAATAACAATACTGGTTTTAAAATAACTGGCTCATAAAGTCAAATTATGTTACCAGAGATGTTCCACTCTTTTTTAAAAATTCACCAGGTTAAAAGTTGTAGAAACCTTCTTTTAAAGACTGCAATTCCATAACATTACTGGTTTTAAAAATATCTGGCCGATTAAGTGAAATTATTATGTCACCAGAGATGTTCCAATCTCTTCTTTAAAAATTTACTAGTTTAAAAGTAATAAAAATCTTTTTTTTAAGACAGCAATTCCATAACATTACTGGTTTTAAAATAACTGTCTGATAAAGTCAAATAATGTTACCAAAGATATTCTAATATCATCTTTAAAAATTCGCTAGTTTAAAAGTTGTAGAAACCTGTTTTTAAAGACAGCAATTCCATAACATTACTGGTGTTAAAAATATCTGGCTTATAAGGTAAAGTTATGTTACCAGAGATGTTCCGCTATCATCTTTAAAAATTTGCTAGTTTAAAAGTTGTAAAATCTTTGTTTTTTAAAGACAGTAATTCAATAACATTACTGGTTTTAAAATAACTGGCTGATAAAGTTAAATTATGTTACAAGAGATGTTCCACTATTTTTTTTAAAATTTACTAGTTTGAAAGTTGTAGAAACCTTTTTTAAAGACTGCAATTCCATAACATTACTGGTTTTAAAAATATCTGGCCGATTAAGTCAAATTATTATGTCACCAGAGATGTTCCAATGTCTTCTTTAAAAATTTACTAGTTTAAAAGTTATAAAAATCTTTTTTTAAGACAGCAATTCCATAACATTACTGGTTTTAAAATAACTGTCGGATAAAGTCAAATTATTTTACCAAAGATGTTCTAATATTATCTTTAAAAATTCACCAGTTTAAAAGTTGTAGAAACCTGTTTTTAAAGACAGCAATTTCATAACATTACTGGTGTTAAAATATCTGGCTTATAAGGTAAAATTATGTTACCAGAGATGTTCCGCTGTCATCTTTAAAAATTTGCTAGTTTAAAAATTGTAAAAATCTTTGTTTTTTTAAGACAGTAATTCAATAACATTACTGGTTTTAAAATAACTGGCTCATGAAGTCAAATAATGTTACTAAAGATGTTCCACGGTCATATTTAAAATTTCACTAGTTTGAAAGTTGTAGAAACCTTTTTTTAAAGATTACAATTCCATAACATTACTGGTTTTAAAAATATCTGGCTGATAAAGTCAAATTATGTTACCAAAGATGTTCTAATATCATCTTTAAAAATTCACTAGTTTAAAAGTTGTAGAAACCTATTTTTAAAGACAGCAATTCCATAACATTACTGGTGTTAAAAATATCTGGCTTATAAGGTAAAATTATGTTCCGCTGTCATCTTTAAAAATTTACTAGTTTAAAAATTGCAAAAATCTTTTTTTTAAGACAGCAGTTCAATAACAATACTGGTTTTAAAATAACTGGCTCTAAAGTCAAATTATGTTACCAGAGATGTTCCACTGTCTTTTTTAAAAATTCACCAGTTTAAAAGTTGTAGAAACCTTCTTTTAAAGACTGCAATTCCATAACATTACTAGTTATAAAAATTTCTGTCTGATAAAGTCAAATTATTATGTCACCAGAAATGTTCCAATGTCGTCTTTAAAAATTTACTCGTTTAAAAGTTGTAGAACACTATTTTTTATAAGACAATTCCATAACATTACTGGTTTTAAAATAACTGGCTGATAAAGTCAAATTATGTTACCTACCAGAGAAGTTCCACTGTCACCTTTAAAAATTCATTAGTATAAAAG